AAAAAAGAAAATCAGAGAGTGTGCTTTCAGAGAGATTCTTCCCATCAGTCTTCTCGATAAAAATCTAAATATATATATATATATATATATATATATATATATATATATATATATATATATATATATATATATATTTATAATATATATATTATAAATCCTATATTTTCTTGCTCTGTTAATGAGAGAAAGGAAAAAAAAAATAATAAAAACGTCTTTGAAGCCAGTGATAAAGTCCGATTTTCAAAGTCAATTCATAAATTAGAATGAAATTACACACAGCAGCCAATTCAGTTAGAGACAATCAGATCCTTGGTTTCATGCTGAGGATCTGATTTGGGTGTTTGATCCAAATCTGTCAGAGAGTCAAACACTTCAGCGGAATAATATGCAGAAGGATGATGAAAAAAGATATCAGATTACATTATTTTTGTTCATTTGTTCATTACTGAAACATGACAAGAATGCTTATTCCAACATGTAAAGCTGATATGTATCACCAAATCTATACTATTTGGTTTGGTATTTTTAGTTCTATCAATTAAAAAAAAAATAATTTAAACTCTGCAATTTTATTTATGAAGATATTTGTTGAACAGGTCAGTTGACATAGTTTATTGGATAGTCACATATTAAACAGAGTGATTTCTCAAAAATGAGTTTGACAGCGATGACGAAATATAAACCCACATTCTTTAATTTGTCAAATTTCTTTAAAAACTTTTTAATCATTGGGAGCTTCAAAACTCTGCATTAGCTTTGGAATATGTCATTTTACTGAAGCAAGTTTAAATATTACTCAAATATAAAACCTCAGCTAGGTGTTAGGTCTTTCTTAGGATAAAAGTTTGTCTCTTACCTCCATAAGGTCCAGTATGTCATTTATTTTACAAAATTCCATAAATGATTGTGGTAGGACTCGATAAAAGTTTTTTTTAATTTTTAATTTTTATTGAATTAATTGCTTGCACTGTAATCAATCAGTCATGATTTATTGCATTTTAAAACTATATGCCAAAGTATTTTCAATTCAAAAACCCTTTTGTCTGCTAAATTATTGAATATGACATTTATTGTTTTTAATCTGTTAGATTGGTTTCTAAAATAACTGTAGAGTGTGTGCATCTGAAAGTTACAAATTTATCCATTTACAATAACACAACTCCCTAAATGGACTATTAAAAAAGGTCTGATAAATTATTTCACAGTTGCATTTTGACATGACTGCAGGGATAGTACTCACTTATTGAGGTAGATCCGTTTTTCTGTAAACTGGCCTGATCCATGCTCTGGATCCTCGTAGGGCTCGTTCTGCACCACTTCCACACCTTCTCCACGTTCACTCTGTTCATGGCTGTGTTTGCTGATCATGTACAGCTGGCCGATACAGTACTGAACGACAAGAGAGAGAGCAGACAAGCTTGTTGTTAAATCGTTGAATTTAATAAATACAATTAGACATTTATGTTGATCAGTCTGAACAGTCGGTGCTTGTGCAGGAGCAAAATCAGGCCACGCATCTGGATAATAAAGCGAGAGTGAAAACAACATTTTTACTGCTCGTGCTCTTTACTGCAGCAGACGGATTATCAGGATTAAGAAACAAAGGTAGTCCTGCTTGAGGCTGCCTGCACCATAGTAACAATCCCGATCAAACAGGACGACAACAAAAACAGAAGCAACAACAGGTTCGGTGACCCTCTCCCACTGCCTCCCCGCGATAAATCAGTCAACACCCACAATCCTTCACTCAGCTCTGACTGACACACTTGGCTCTGTCACAATGTCACTTTGAGCTGCTTTGACAGGCGGGACTCGGGTGTCACATGGCAACTATTTTCCATACATACGGAGAACGACAGACAGCGGAGAAGGGATGCTCCGTGACAGAGATTTCCAACTGCTTGTAGACCTATTTCCATGCCTGGGTAACAGATACAGCCCAGTGATTTATGTTGCTGTGCTGAAATGCTAAGGGGTCATGTAGGACTCAGCTGACACACACACTCAACCGTGTGTGCCCCAACCAAGCATAGCTGTGTTAAGCTAGTGGAAAAAAAAAAAAAAAAAGACAAGAACACTGTACATCCAGCTACAAAGTCCCAGAAATGGACAGCACAGAAATATACGTAGAAATATGATAGTGTAGTGCAATAGAGCAGAGCTAGTTTAAACCGGGCAACATGCTTGAAGTGTAACTTGTTGTGCAATTCCAGTTATTTTTTTCCCGTCTGTTGACCATGAGAGGAAACTAATGAGGTGTGATGAAGAAGTCCCAGCAGGGATGTTGATGGCGGTGTTTCCGACTGCACAGCTGTTGGAGTCTGGCAGAAATATGACTGTCACAACAACACTGTGTCACCAGTCAGGTGTAGTAGAGGAGGGAACTCATTACTGCTTGATCGATCAGGAATTTATTTAATCAAACATAGCAAATGTTTATTTGTTGTTACACGTGTATACACGTAAATATCTTTTATGCACACGTGAAGCAAAATAGTGAAGGGATATTTTTGTCTTCCTAGTAAATATCATAAAGCACCGTAAAATAACCAGTCACTACTCTAAGTAAAGAGGAAGACTGCCACTAAAACTGGATTTATTTCTATGATTTTTGTACAGGGCACAGCTGACAAAGAAGATACGTTTTATCTTCTGGTTCTTTTTATTTTTTAACGCTACTCTGGGCAAGTGTCCATACAGCCCATATCAGAAGCCCCCACTGAATAGCTCAAATACCAAAGGCACAAAAAAAAGAAAAGTTATTTCATCTAGAGTGAGTCAAGCGATTGTTATGCACCAAAAGTTTATTTTTGTGGAGCTCAGCACATGTAGTCTTTGCCTTTTCCTTTTGCTAAAACTTGGGGGTTTGTCTGTTTGATGTTAAGGAGCACAGCTTTGATCCTGATAAGTTCTGAGTCAGGAAGGTAACAAAAACATCAATCTCAAGCATGCAGGACCTACACCCCTGCTGTTTTATGACACTGTACAGGTATCCCAGATGACCAACCTCTATGATCAGACTACTCAGGTAATCTAAATGAAAAGAGTGGTGAAGAGCGCATTATAAAATCTGCCACTACAGATGTGCAATAACATCATTTAGATGCTTCACAGCAAGAAGAAGATTTCCTCTTTAAATCTGAGCTTAGCAAGTACAAGCAAATATGCAGATTCAAAGCAAACTAATGCATTGTTTTGTCCGCACTTTTTAATCCACTACGATAGCGAGGAGCAGACAAGTGAAAAAATTGGGAGGTGCACCTCTTAAGTGACATCAGCTTGCATAGAGAGTGCACATAAATCTCCGCACTGGATGGAAATCACAGAGGCAAAGTGGCCTCTCGGGAGGACCACTAAGCAGTGCCCTGATCAATCTGATGGCAAACCGGAGAGAATTAACATGAAGCACCATCCTCTTTCTGTCGCCCTTCATTAATTCAGGCTTTTTGGACATTTTGTATAAACAGGCCAGCTATTGTGCCAGTCTCCCTACCTGCCATTGTACTTTGGCTCCGTCTGTTGTTTACCTAAAAGCTGCAGCTGATGAATGAGAAACACTTTTCATTGTTGTCTTTGGAAATCTCCATCAAATGACGAAATGGGAGAAGAGGCCTTGACTCAAGACAGAGTGGCCATGAATAATCGATTGTTATTTCTCTTTCTCTCTGTCGGACAACAGAGCTGTTGGGTAGGATCAAGGGCTGACAAGATGAAAATATATTGTTTTGTTCTATGTTCAGGTGTAATTGATCTTCTACAATCCCACATGTCACTGAATCTGTCTGCCTGTTTTTTTTTTTTTTTTTTTTTTTTTTTTCCTTTTTTTTTTTCTTTCCCTCTTTAATATTAAATTTTCATCCTCCAACCCCCCCTTTTGGCCTGTT